CGCGGCACAAGCACCCTCAGCAGCAGCAGAACCTCCAGCACCCGCAGCACCTCCAGCTCCAGCAGCTCGCCTCCAGCGCCGGGCAAACCACTCACGCAGCTCCTGTGGAGAGAGTAGCTCCCGCCGGGACGAAGTACCCGAAGAACCTCCAGGCCCAGCACCGCCAGACGCCACACGAGCAGGTCCAGTACCCTCAGACTCCGCACCCCCAGACGCAGCACCCCCAGGCTCAGCACCCCCAGGCATAGCACCCCCAGGCTCAGCACCCCCAGGCGCAGCACCCCCAGAGTCAGCACTCCCAGACTCAGCACCCCCAGGCTCAGCACCCCCAGAGTCAGCACCCCCAGACCCAGCACCCGTAGGCTCAGCACCCCTAGTAGCACCAGAGTCAACAGCTACCTCGACAGGGTCGACTGCGTCTACCTGAGACACACCTGAGGGGGCAGGACCCTGAGGGGGGAGGGGGTCTACCGGAGGGGGACCTGGCGTAAGGAAGAGCGGCGGGGGGGGGAGGGACGCAGTGCGGTAGGGGAAGAGACGGTAGTAGGGAACCGACTCGTCAAACGTGACGTCCTGGGAGGACAGAACACGGCGCGAGGTGGGGTGGTAGAACTGCCAGCCCGGCGCGTCAGGGGGGAAGCCAAGGAAGACGCAGGGTACAGCACGAGGGGACAGCTTGTCCGCAGACAAGTCGCGGACAAACGCCCGAGATCCCCAGACACGGAACGCAGACGCATCGCCAACCTTCCCCGTCCACAGCAAAGCAGGGGAGGTCTCCGGCATGGAGACCCGGGGCTGAAGGTTGATCTGATGCGCCGCGTATCGAACCGCAAACGGCCACAGAAAATGGGGGGCAGCCGCATGGACCATGGACGTACGAGCGACGTCCATGACCATGCCAATGCGGCGCTCAGCAATCCCATTTTGCTGCGGAGAGTCCGGAAGCGTGAAGGTCTGGCGGATGCCTCGTGCACGACAGAAGGCTCGCAGAAGGTCAGAGGAGAACTCTCCGGCTCTGTCAGAGTGCAGACGCAGAACCGGAAAGTCCGAGCCGAAACTCTCTCTGAGCTGGAGACGAGCTGCGCGGATCCAGGCGATCAACACCTCAGTGACCTCACCCTTGCTGCGCAAGGGGAAGACTGCGGTGTAACGCGAGTAGTCGTCAACCACCAGCAGGAAGTAACGCCCGTGACCCTGTCCACGGACGCGGGCTGGGCCTCACACGTCCATGTGAAGCGTCTGCAGCGGAGCCTCTGTCGGAGGAAACTCGGAGGAGTGAGGAGCAGCGCGCTGCCGCCCCTCGACGCAGGGAACGCAGGTGGGGGCAGGCCCCGGAGGAAGGGGAGGGAGGGACCGGGGGAGACCAGAGACAAGGACACGGGAGGCCATGCCTCGAAGACGAGGCAGGGAGGGGTGACCAAGGCGGTGGTGCCAGAGGAGAGTCTGGTGAGACAGGAGACGACACGAGCAGGGGGCAGACTCAGGACCAGACCTGGACGCCGCAGCAAACACCTGACCCGACGCGGCTACCTGAGCAGACTCAGCGACCGGAGGAGACTCAGTAGTCAGTGTGTACAGGCTCGACCCCGGCTGACGGGTAAACGTGGCCAAGTGACGGCCCGTCCGAGCACAGGTACAGTGGGTCACTCGCTGACTCGCAGGAGTGAACTGGTGAACCCCTCCATCCTGAAGGTCAGCACCACTCACCAAGTTCGTAGAGAACGAGGGGAGGTAAAGACCCGACAGGGTGCCAGAAGGGGCCGCCGGACACGGTAGAACAGTGGAGAAGTTGGCAAGGACAGGACCCCCAGAGGGGTCTGCCAGGGAGACTGCCACTGGCCGACTAAGCGGCGTAAGCGTGGTGCGGTCTCGAAAGAAGGAGCGGGAAGCACCCGAGTCAGGGGTGAAGGTGTGGGTGGCCGGAGCCGACGCGGTACCTGAGAGCGCAGACTCACCAGCACCTGGGGCAGCAGACTCACCAACACCTAGAGCAGCAGCCTCACCAGCACCTAGAGCAGTAGCCTCAATGCCCGGGTCAGGCGGAAAACACCGGTAACAGTCACCCTCATCACTAATAGTCACAGCATACATTGCAGCAAGAATAGCATCATAATCAAGATCAAAGATCGCAACACCCGCCCTAAACAGCTCGCCCCAGCGAGGGATCTCAGTAGCGTCGGGGAACTGATGACGCCAAGCGTCCGTCAGGCGGCCGAAGCAGCGCTGGGTGGAGTGCGGACCCCCACACTGCTCACCCGTGCGGTCGCCTGTATGTAGAACGTAGGTACAGGGGCCAGCACCCCCACCCCGCTGACGAGCAGTGTACCACTCACGAAGCTGCTGGGGGGAAGGAGTCTCACGAGTGCGCTGCTGCTGCTGCTGCTGCTGGCGCTGACCACCACCGGAGCCGACCCTCTGCGAAGAGCCACCCCGACCAGCTCCACCTCCGCCGCCGCTACCTCCACCACCGCCACCACCTCCACCACCTCCGCTCGCACCGCCACCACCGCCGCCTCCTCCGCCTCCACTGCCGCCACTAGTGCCCCCACTCCCGCCACCACTCCCACCGCCACCCCCTCCCCCTCCGCCGCCTCCACCGCCGCCTCCACCGCCCTCGCCAGCTCCTCCAGCGCCCTTGCCCCCTTGCCCTTGCCTGAGCGGCGTCTCCCGCTAGGGGCAGACGCCGCGCCGACCGACTCAAGACCAACGAGGTCGGCCGCAGCAGCAGAGGCAACAGAGGGCAAGAGGGGGGAGGGGGAGCACCCCTCAAAGACAGGGGTACGAGGGTCACCACGAGAGGCTCCTACAGCGACTATACTCTTTTCTGCTGCTAGGAGGCGCTCCTCGAGGAGGTCAACGGTGAGGGTGGTGGGGCAAACAGAGAGGAAGTGGTCCCTGACCGAGCGAAGGGTGTCAAGGAGCCGGGTGACTATGTAGTAGAGGGTGATGTACATAGGGGGGGGGTTCTTGGCGCAGAACTCAGCAGGAAGTGCAGCGCGGTAGCGAATGTCACTAGTGCGAAGGTGCGTAATGAGGTCAGCGACTGTGGGAAAAGCGGCGAGGTCAGGGAAGAGGTATGGCAGTATGAGGCGGCTAAGGGCAGCAGTGGCAGGGGAAGAGTAGCGTGCAACGACAGCGTCGTACAAGGTCTTAGCACTCTTGTACTGACTAAAATGCGCGCGCTCAGCGGTCGGTAAGTGGCGGCGCACAGCAAGGCGAGCAGCAGCATCGCGCGTGGCCCACTGTGAGCGAACAGTGGCGTCAGCATCAGCAGCAGGGGCAGGAGAGGCACCAGAGGTGAGGTCAAACAGGGAGAGACCGTTTGCCCTATCGCACTGTAGGAAAAGCTGCAGATTATCTACCCAGACCTCAAAGTCAACAGCCCGACCCTCAGCGTCAAAGGTGAGAACACTGGGGGTGGCCATGACAGCAGCAGACAGGCAGTGAGCACAGCGTGGTAGGGCAGTGCAGTGGCAGAGGCGTTGCGCTTACCAGATAAGTGAGGCGGTCCGGGGCAGGCCGGCAGGGACAGGGCCGCTACTGCAGTGACGGCGGCGTCTCGGCTGCGGCGGCCCGGCGGCTCGGCAGCTCGGCGGCTCGGCGGCTCGGCGGCAAAGGCGGCTCGGCGGCTCAGCGGCTCGGCAGCGAAGGCGGCTCGGCGGGGCCGTGAAGGGCGGCGTCGCTGCCGCGAAGGAGCGGCGACGGGGCCGCTGAAGGGCGGCGACGAGGCCGCCGAAAGGGGCGGCGACGAGGCCGAGTAGGGGCGGCGACGGGGCCGCGGAAAGGGGCGGCGACGGGGCCACGGAAAGGGGCGGCGACGGGGCCGCTGAAGGGCGGCGACGGGGCCGCGGAAGGGCGGCGACAAAGCCGCTAAGAGGCGGCGACGGGGCCGCTGAAAGGGCGGCGACGGGGCCGCTGAGAGGGCGGCGACGGGGCCGCTGAAAGGGCGGCGACGGGGCCGCTGAAAGGGCGGCGACGGGGCCGCTGAAAGGGCGGCGACGGGGCCGCTGAAAGGGCGGCGACGAAGCCGCTAAGAGGCGGCGACGGGGCCGCTGAAAGGGCGGCGACGGGGCCGCTGAGAGGGCGGCGACGGGGCCGCTGAAAGGGCGGCGACGGGGCCGCTGAAAGGGCGGCGACGGGGCCGCTGAAAGGGCGGCGACGGGGCCGCTGAAAGGGGGAGGCGGCGACGGGGCCGGAAGGGGCGGCGACGGGGCCGTCAAGGGCGGCAACGAGGCCGGTAGGGGCGGCGTCGGGGCCGCTAAGGGCGGCGCGACGGGCCGCTAAGGAGGGCGCGACGGAGCCGCTAAGGAGTGCGCGACGGGGCCGCTAAGGAGGGCGCGACGGGGCCGCTAAGGAGGGCGCGACGAGCCGCTAAGGGCAGAACACTAGGCGCGCCTCGGGCAGGGGACAACGCGCGCCCCGGGCAGGAAAAAAAATCGATCTTGGTGGGCCCTAGGACAGTTCCCACTAGGGAACCTGCTCGATACCATGAGAAACTTAGAACGAGAATGGATTGACTAAGGAATGAAAGTGATACAAATAAGTTTGACACAAAGCATTTTACATTCACTCTGCTATTGAGGTCAAGGGCCCACCAACATCACTTCTCTGCGTGCGAACCTTCCTGAGTAGATCCTAGGCCACGATCAATTTGTGATCGCAGCACGAGGGATTACGGTATAGCGAAACTATAGTGGTATCGGTAATGAACTGTGGTTGTCGTGCGACGGGCCTGGGACTGAGGCTTGGGGAATTGTCGAAGCGGAGGCCCGGAGCGCGGGTTACCCGCCGAGCCGTGAGGTCGGGGTGCGACGTGCGAAGGTGGCGGGAGGATTTGTCGATGCGATGGTTGCGAGTGGTAACGGTGCTGACTGTGGTGCTACAGTGGTGTACGCGCTGAGTGGGGACGCGAAGTAAGGAAAAGGAATTTTCCTTACTCATTGGGACGATGTGAACCAGCTTAATAATTGATTATTTGTTTTTAATTTGCTCCAACTGCACTAAACCAACAGCCTGCTGCCTTGACACCTTGCCACATCATCTGAGCTGCCAGCCTGGCAGGCTTGAAACAGCCGCATCAGATCTGCCACCCTGTCAGCCCGGAGCTGAGTCAGCAGCGAGGGGGGGAGTGCTGGAGGGGAAGGAGCGGCAGGGCGTGGTGATTGGTTCGTTGGTTTGCGTGGACGGGCGGAGAGAGCGCGAGAGGGCGTGCGGGGAGTAGGGGTAGTACAGGTGGCAAGGGTGCGAGGGGAAGGGGGGGGAGGGGGACAGATGGAGAGGGGGCGAGGGGGTGTGGGTCGGGGGGGCGTGGGGGAATGGGAAGAAGTGGCATCATCTTGGGGAGGGGTGGTGAGGTGGTTGGGATCAGCTGCAGCGTTGGCAGTTGCTTTGGGAGTGGGCGTGGTAGTGAGGTGAGGGGTAGCAGTGTCTTCTGCACACGGATACTGGTCCTGTTGACTAGGTTGACTGGGTTGACTTGACTGACTGGATTGATGTGACGCAGTGGGTTGACTCAGTTGACTTGATGCAGGCTGGAACTGACTCAATTGGCTTGACTGCCAAGGTTGGGACTGGAGAATGCTCGGGCTGCTCATGCCTCCTATTGGCGAATTCTTCACAGCCACATTCGCTGCAGTCACGCTCCCTGCTGTGCCACAGCCACTCGCACCAGTGCTGCTGTAGTCAACGCCATTCCACGGCAGTCCATGGCAGTCAACGCCAGTCCACGGCAGGAACGAGACTCGTTGCGCTTCTGTGTTGATCAAAGGGAGATCGTCACTGGGAGCTGCAGGACTGTACAAGGGGCATTCTGCTGCTGCTGCTGCTGGCTGTGCTGCTGGCCGAAATGCTGCTGTTTGTACTGCTGTTCTGCTTCTTGATTCCGAACTAGCTGTGCTGCTGCTAATACCCACACTACTGCTGCTGGTAGTCCCGAAAGCATGTACCTCTGTCCTCAGTTCAGCTTTCAACAAGTTTCTCCTCCGCCCCACCGTGTCAAACCAAGGATGCGAAAGAATCTCACCAGACCTGATCCTCCTCCCAGGTTCCTTCTGCAGCATCCTCCGAACCAGATCCTTAGCCTCGGCAGAAACCCCGCCCCACAGCTCCGGCGAGACCAGATCTGGCGCCGCCCGGCACGCAGCAGCAAACACGGCGTTGTGGTTCGGGCCATGGAAGGGAAGCTTCCCGGAAAGGCAGGTGTAGAGGATAATCCCGAGGCTCCACACATCCACCTGGTGGTCATACAGGTGACCTTTCACGACCTCAGGGGCCAAGTAAAAAGGGCTCCCTACCAAGCCTGTCAGGTGCTCCCCAGGCGCCAATCGCCTTGCCAGGCCAAAGTCGGCGATGCAGAGGTGGAGGTTCGGAAAGCTGCTCGCGTCCCCTGAGAAAGGCCGAGCCAGCAGGATGTTCTCGGGCTTTAAGTCCCGATGCACCACCCCCACGGAGTGCATCCACGCCAGCGTGGCAGCCAGCTGGCCCACGACAGCGGCCGCCAGCTGTTCGGGCATGCCCGCTGACTCAGCGTACCGGTCAACGAGGTCAAACAGGTCTCCTCCGCTGCAGTGGTCCATGACCAGGTGCACCCCCCAGTTGTCCTCGTACACTGAATGTAGACGCACCAGGCCCTCCCAGGGGGACCTCTCTGTGCTGGTGCTGTTGACTGGGTTGACTGGGTTGACTGCTTCCTCCTCGTCCCCTTCTCTTGCTCTCTCCTCTTCCTCCTCTTCCGCCATCTGCTGCAGCAGCAGCGGCGTCAATGCCTCGGCGCGCAGCTCCTCCATCTCCCGCGAGCCCTGAGAGCACAGCACAGCACAGCACGAGGCAAGGAGGATGCAAGGAGGAGCATCCGAACTTAGTTTCAAGACGTGATTTGGGTTGGGACGCGTAAGCGTTGGGAACATCTGTCAGAAACGTCAGCGCCTCGGCGCGCAGCTCCTCCATCGCCCGCGAGCCCTGAGAAAACAGAGCAGCACGAGGGAACGAGGAGCAGGCAGGAACAGGGATCAAAGTCGTAAGAAGCAGGACGAGACGACAACATCAGGGTGAATGATCATAGCAGGGAGCGTGAGAATGGATAGCACGACACAAGGAGAGGCAAGGAGGAGCAAACGGGAATCGACAGCGTCAGAGAGCAAGCACGAGGGAGAGATCAAAGTCATAGGATCAGGGCGCAAGGACAACATCAAGGGTGAATGATGGCAGGGAGGGTGAGAATGATACAGGGAACACATGGGAGAATACAAGGGAGACTGATAGCCGGGGAGACTGATAGCCGGGGAGACTGATAGTTAGCCGTACCTGAAGCAGCTCCTTGCTGATTGTCTTGCAAGCGAACGTCGCCCCGCTGCCCCGCTCCTGGCACACGCGCACCACGCCGAAATGCCCGCGCCCCAGCTCCTCCCCGACCTCGAACCGAGCCTCCAGCCTCGGCCCGAAGCTGCCGACGAGCCACGGATCCCTCCAGCTCGGCGGGTAGTGATACGGTTGGATCTGCTGGCTCGGCGGCGCGCCGCGGGTGCAACTCGAGCTTCGGTAGTATCGCTGCCGCGTTTGCGCCGCGAGGTGGCATCGCTCCTCCAACTGGTCGAGAAGCATGCTGACGTGGCAACGGGTGGTCGCGGCGCGCGGGAAATCGAACACTGGCCGACTTAAACTCCCAAAACTACGACTCGAACATGGATCACTGCTACTAGCGGCGAGGACTTGGGAGGACATGGTGTCGCTGGTACAGGCCACTGCCATGACGTCACTGGTTTGGGCAGATTCTCTCATACTGCTACTATGCCGCCGCGGCGCGGTTCTGAAATCGACTTCGAGAGGAAAGTCGACTCCGATTCGTTGCGAACGACTGGCGAGGATTTCGGAGCCCATTGCTGTCGCAAATTGCATGTGTTTTTTCGCCTTTCGTTTACGGGTGACTTCTGAAACGCGCGTGTCAGAAATTGAAGCTTGCTATAGCTGCATAGAGCGCGTGTGACTTCCTATGATACCCGCACCGCACGTCGGCCGAAGCTGCAATCCGAGTGTCACGGTTCCGACAGGTAAAGCATTATAATTACTTCAAAAAGCGCAAGCCTTGTGGGAGAAGGCAAAGCGAGTCCGGAAAACGAGCGGATGAGAAACGATCGGACCGGGGAGAAAGCATGGCCGACATCTGATACCAGTGCGAGGAAGAAAGGGTCTGAAATAACGCCGCTGCGTTACACATTGGGGGCCTGATGACGTAGTCTGAGTCGGCTCGAAATACACCTGGACTAGGGGGGAGGGGCGGAGGCACAGCTGACGACCGCTACCAGTGCTGGAGTCACTTCTGAAATCTACACGAGGAATGGGTCCGAAGCGACGCCTCGACGTTACACTGTGGGGGCCGAGCTGACTCCACGTTACAGACTAGAGGATGGCCTATTGCTGAGAGAAGACGAGAAGACGACTGTCGGCAGGTTGTTTGTGGAAAAAAGCCGTACATTGGAAGAGAATGAGGCGTGGAAGAAGAGGGACGACTGGGTTCGTGTGTGCAAGGGGATTCGGTCGGACGAATTAGTGGCTTTTTTGGCTGTGGCAGGCGTGCTGCCAATGAAGTGGGCAAGTGTTGCAATTTGTAACGAGAAACGCAGCTGGTGCACACGAAAAAGTCAGGGCCCAGTTCGGCAGGCATTAAAAAAACGGTTCCCCGGTTAGGCTACAGTAAACCGACCACCCTGGAACCTTCTTTGATAAGCGCGTGAAAGGTTATCTAGGCTCGATATAAGCGGATCATCGCCGAACCAGACAATAATGGAATGCCAGCCGAACACCCCCTTTGACGCTGGCATTTTCTACCAGAGGAATCGTCCTCGAACCCTATTTCCCAGGCAAATGGTCCATTTTCTGATACGCCGCACCATACTGCCTCGAGACCCCCCCCCACACGGGGTATCAGTGATTCGGGGCAATCACACATTGCCCTGACAAAAACAAATCCCGGTCTTTCATGCCCCTCATTTTGCCCGCTGGGAAACCGCACATCACCAACACACCTTCACTAACACATCGAACGCACAGATTCTCTTGCCCGAATTTTTTCGACGTCCACCACTGGTTTGCATGGCTGCCCGTGCTGCCAGTACAGTGATTCTGAGCTCCATCAGCTTCTGCGAAGTGTCATTTTCGGTTGATGCCGTTAATCCAGGCCCATTTAATGCCAACCGAACAGTCGGGCCCATTCTTCCGAAGTTAAACTGCAGCTACAGTCTGACTTCGCAGCTGTTTCGAGGGGCCATTTTTTGGGGGCCCGTTAAAAATGCCCAAAATGGCCATAATGGCCATAATGCCTGCCGAACTGGGCCCAGACCACAGAGGTTTCTGATGTGTGAGGGAGGGGACTGAAGCGCGATGGAAGGACGGGAACGAGAAGGTTTGGGGCTGGTTTGGTTGGGTTAGGATGGGTTGGGATAGGATGAGATGCGATGGGAAGGGATGCGATGGATGTTGGACGGATTTGCAGGGAATGGTCGTCGGGGGGAAGGCCGTCGGGGAATGGTCGCTGGGGGAAATTGCGGAATCGAGGTTGTGCGGGAGGGAGCAGCTGGTGCTTCATCTCGGGTGTTGCGGGGTGCCAGTTGTACTTTGGTGGTGGGTGGGGTTCGGTCGGAAGGGAAGGGAGGGAAGGGGGAAGAGGGGGATGAACTGCTTTCCCATCCCACACTCGCTGATTGGCGCTGTCAACAACTGGGTTTCCGCAGCTTCCTGCGGGCAACATTGTCCCCCCCGAAGCGTGTGCGTTTTGAGAGTCACGCGACGCGGAGGACAGGTCAGTGGCAGGGGCGGCGGCTGCTGCGGTGCGAAAGAAAATCGGAGAATTCTTGGATTGCAGGGAGGGGGAGGGGAACATAAATTTGACCAGGGGAAGGCGGAGCAACGGCAAGTAGGAGAAGTTGAGCGGGGGGGAGGCGGGGAGAGGAGGAAGAGGGAAAGGCTTGCGGGGGTCATGAGCGCAGATTCGGTTTCAACGCAACTGCCACGGGGCGGGTGGGGAAGGGGTTGTGTGGCTGCGGGGGCGATGGAAAGTGCTAGGAAAGCTGAGGGGTGATATCCTCGCATTCAGGGCAAAGACGGATAAGTTTGTTACAGTATTGCCCAGAAATTTCACTAGAGGTGGAGGAAAGATGCTAATTACACTTGGCAGGTGTAGTGACAGTTCAGTACAGCTGTTCAGAGGAAGCAGATATTCAACCAGTTTCAGCTGACCCACTGAATGGGCAATCGTGGACTCGGTCAACGTCGCGTCTCCGCCACGCACGAAAGAGTGCGACGACTGGTTCAGTACTGTACTCGCATGTGATTCTCCGTGCCTTTGACCATCAAACCTGTCCACTGGAACACATGTCGGTGGAGAAAAGATTGGACCTCCCAAAACATACGCGCTGTTGGACCAGGGAATTAACAGATGGATGCTCGAGGGACGAGTCACGATTTCGTACCATACAGCTGGATGACACTTAATACACGCTACCAGTGGTTTTGATGAGTAAATACTTTAATGCTAGTAGGGAGTAAATGTTCAGTAAGGAACACAAAGTAGCATGCATACAGTCTGAGAAATCAAGCGAGCTGCTGGGTGTTCATACACTCACCAAGGTGTACACACACCCAGCAGCAGCAGCAGCAGCAGAACAAATTGGGCACAGCATCATAGACAGAACAAAATGCCCAAGAAAGACAGAAGTCCCAGCCACAGCAGCAGGTACCACATGCAATCACTGCGTGGCCTTATCAGAAAACAACAAAACCAAAAAAAGGCGGGAACCTGCAGCAGCAGCAGCAGCAGCAGGCAGGCTGGTGGGACCCTGGCACTGCACACAGCCAGGCACCTGCATCAGCGAGTGACACAGTGCCTGCACTCTTCTATGGCAACAACAAAGTCAAGCCACTCATGCCATCTCACGTCACACCACCCAACCCCCTGCCCTCCCGTCCCCACACAGGGGAAAGTGTAACATCCGTGTGTCTTTCCTTTGCCCCTGCACTGACCACTCTGCACAGCCATGGTGTTCCACTGCAGGTCCCTTGTCGGTCCAAGCTGCTCCTAAAACCCGCTCTCGCTCGCTGCAATGCCCGCCATGCCGCCAGTTCAAATCCCTCCACAATCCACACTCCCTCCACAGAATGCTATAGATGCTCCTTCCTGCTCAGTCGTTCCTCTGCTGCACGCTGCCTCCACCGCCCCTCCCTGCCTGCACCAGTCCCTGCACACCTCCCTACTGTCTCCACCCACCCATCCGCCATCACCACCCGCAGTCAGCCTCTATTTGAGGCTGAGGTCTTTTTCAAAAGCCTCATAGACCATCGTGACTTGCACCAGTCCCTCCACACTGCCTCTGCTGTCTCCACTCGGTCATCCACCATCACCCGCCACAGCCTCTCTTCATTTCAAATCACACAGCAACGCCGAAAGTTAGTGTTTCAACCCCCAGTTTTTTTTTTTTTTTTTTTTTTTTTTTTCTTTTAGGTGACCGAAGTCAAACAAACAAACATACACAGACACATTCACACACACAAGCTCAAACACATGCACACGTGTGCGCACATACATACATGCAGACACACCCACTTTCCAGGACATGCCATGCCACCCATGCACTGACATGCACAAGGCATTGGCATTCCACCAACACACACCCTGCTGCGTCTGCTCATCAATAATCACACGCCAAAAAAGTTAGCTCCAGTGCACACATGCACAAGTCAAATTGTCAGCTTCGCATCAGCTTCACATGCCCAGTCACACCACTTCCCACACACACTCCCATTCCCTCCACACCTCATTTTCCTTCAACTCTCACGGCCTTCCTTGCACTCTGGAGCAGCAGCAGTCCTCAAATCCCCACTCTTAGCCTACGCCACATTGTAGCTCTTGGCACCTGGCTTGGCAGGAGCTACAAGAGCAAGAGACGGTCACCTGTCGTCACATTGTAGCTCTTGGCACCTCGCCTTCCGTCCTAGACAGGTGACATTTGAGTCGCCTCCACAGCTGACCGTCTCCTCTGCTGCCACAGCAACTGCTGCTCTCAAATTCCCCTCTTTGCCTCCCCACCTTACCCCTTGGAACCTCGTCTTCCCTTCTACCTTCTGCCCCTGCCGCTGCGTGTAATAAGGCAATTTTTGAGTCAAGCCAGAAATCGTCTTTGCCTCCCCACCTGCCCCCTTAAAGCCTCAACTTTACGTCTACCTTCTGCCCTTCCCGCTGCTCATACCACCCCTCTTCCTCCCCAGCTGCCCCGACCACATGAGGTGCGCCTGCTGCTCCATAAACGCCATGGCCCGCTAGTTCTTCTCCCGCCGCCCCCCCTCAGCAGCAGCTGCTTCCCTCGAATCCCTTTCCCTGACTTCCCTTCACTTTTTGCCTCCTACCGCCTGCCCTTCCCGCTGCTCATACCGCCCCTCTTCCTTCCCAGCTGCCCCGACCACATGAGGTGCGCCTGCTGCTCCATGAACGCCATGGCCCGCTGGTTCTTCTCCCGCCGCTCCTCCAGTGCGTTCGCAGCCTCATTAGCGCGGGCGGCAGCGAGGAATTGGTTATCCTTGCGCAATTCCCTAGCTGCTCCTCGTGCTTCCCTCTTGATCGCCCGCTGCAGCCGCCGCTGCTCTGCGCGCTCCCTGTTCGGATCGTAGTCCTTGCCACGGGCGAAACTGGAGCGAAAGGAGAAAAAAGGAACACAGGAAGCGACGGAAGGGAGAGCGCGGGGGAAGGACAGGGGAACACGGGGAAGGAGGGAAGGGAGGCGGGAGAAAGGAGTGCACATGAGGGGAGAGCAGGCGCCAGCATCCACTGTGGGGGCAGCAGGAGCAGGAGCAGCAGCGGCGTGGTGTGCGTGTATAGCGGCGGAACTAGTTGTTCTTGAGCCACTCTCTCACGAACTCTCTCACAAGGTGTATTTTTTAGGGGCCTAAAGAATCATGGAGCTGGCTGTCCTGGCGCAGATTCCTTGCTGCCCCCACCACCCCCCTTCACCCCTCCAACCCACCTCCGGCTTGTCCTTCATTCCGTACCCAGGTACCTCGATATCATTCTCAAAACGTACTCAGATCGAACTTGGGGTTGAACTGCTTCGCCGGCACGGCCCGCTTCAACCGCAGCCGCAGCGGGTGCCTGGAACCTCGATACATAATTAAGACTCAAACCACTCCATTAACTTCAACACCTACTCAGACTCAAACTTGGGGTTGAACTGCTTCGCCGGCACTTCTCCAAGCCTCCGACTGCCATTTCGTTCTACCTCCCACCCATCCGTCTCATCTCCGCACCTACCCAGACCCAAACCACACACTATCATTCCCAATTCGTACTCAAAACCACACACTATCATTCCCAATTCGTACTCAAAACCACCCACTATCATTCCCAATTCGTACTCAAAACCACACACTATCATTCCCAATTCGTACTCAAAACCACACACTATCATTCCCAATTCGTACTCAAAACCACACACTATCATTCCCAATTCGTACTCAGATTCAAACTTGGGGTTGAACTGCTTAGCATTCACGGCCCGTTTCACCCTCAGCCCCCAGTTTCAGATGTACCTTTCCGTTACAGCACTCCCTTATCCCTCTCATTCTCAACACGTGCTCAGACCGCACCTCTTAACGCTCCCTTATCCCTCTCCTCCCAACACGTACTCAGATTCAAACTTGGGGTTGAACTGCTTCGCAGGCACGACCCGTTTCACCCTCAGTCCCCTATCCCCGGTTTACCACCTCGTATAAACGTTCCCTTACCCCCCATATCTTAAAACGTACTCAGACTCGAATTTCGGGTTGAACTGCTTCGCAGGTACGGCCCGTTTTACCCTCAGCCGCAGCGGTTGCCTGGAACCTTCCACCTCCGCCACCGCCCCCTCGATATCCTTCACCCACGCTGCCCGCTCCTGCTCGATTTCTTCGGGCAGCTGCCCGGACTCCGCGAGGGCGGCGAGCGTGGGCAGGAAGGGCGCGAAGATCTCGGGGAAGGGCGGCATGGGGCGGTAGAGCAGCGCGAAGGCGCGGAGGGTCTTGAGCACTGCCAGCAGCAGACTCAGCCTGCGGTTGTGTGTGGGGGAGGTTAGGGGGAGATAGGGGAAGAGGTGGGGGGAGAAGTGGGCGGGTGTAGTGGGGACAAGCACCAGTAGCAGCACATGGGGCGGTAGAGGAGCGCCAAGGAGCAAGCCACCTGAACCTGAGTCATAACCTGAAACCACCAGAACTACATGAGATCACCTGAACCTACCAGAAGCCACCGTGGCAAAAACCTGAAACCACCTGAACCTACCTGAAACCACCTGAACCTACCTGAAACCACCTGAACCTACCTTAAGACGTCGGAGCCAAAGTAGGCCTCTGCCACGGTCCCTGCTGCACTGCCCTCCACACCCAGCAGGGTGGGAGGAGCAGCAGGAGAAGCGGAGGGCGAAGCCTTGGAAACAAATGGGTTAGCAGTGGTGCTGGTGGTAGTTTCAGTGGTGCCGGAAGTGCTGGACGGGCAGGAAGGTCCCAGGAAGATGCGGTCAAAGTCGAGGGCCTCGGGTTTGTCTTCTAGCGGCTCGCGCTTGCGCTTGCGGTGGTTGCTGCCGTCGCCACACGGCGCCCACAGCCACTGCTGCGAGCACACCTGCAGCAGCATATAGCGCGGCACTCCCTGGGGGAAGGGGAGGGGGAGGGGAGGAGGAATATGGGGAACAGAGAGGGTTGCTGCCGTCGCCACACGGCGCCCACAGCCACTGCTGCGAGCACACCTGCAGCAGCATGTAGCGCGGCACTCCCTGGGGGATGGGGGGAAGGGGGAGGGGGAGGGAGGGAAGATGGGTTTGAGGGGTTAGCAGTGGTGGCAGTAACAGCAGGGGCAGCAGGGGCAGCAAGGGCAGTGAGGGAAGGGCCTCGGGTTTGTCTTCTAGCGGCTCGCGCTTGCGCTTGCGGTGGTTGCTGCCATCGCCACACGGCGCCCACAGCCACTGCTGCGAGCACACCTGCAGCAGCATATAGCGCGGCACTCCCTGCAAGTGGGGGTGGGACGAGATGGAGAGGAGGAAACGAGAAACGGGGGCCGAAACAATGACGCAAACTAATCACGAAAGGAGGAGGAAGGGGAGGAAGGGCGGGAGGACGTTGGGTAGAAGGAAAGGGAGGAGAAGCATACCTTGGGCTTGACGAGGTTTGAGCGCAGGGGCAACAGCGCTTCACAGCAGCGCGTGCAATATAAATTTCGAGTTGACTCAAAACTGTGTGATGTGATGTGTGATCACGGGAGGAGGAAAGGCCATACCTTGGGCTTGACGGGTTTGAGGGCGGGGGCAACAGCGCTCCACAGCAGCGCATGCAGAAAGTTAAGCGCCTCTGGGACAAAGCGACGACTCTGAGACACCATCTGGAACGAAGTGAGGGGGAGGAGAGGGGAGGTAGCTAGTGACGGTGAGACAGTGGGATGAGATGTAGGGGCAGTGACGACAGCAAAAGCGGCAGTTAGGGGAGCATCAGGGGTTTTCAAATGGCAGTAGCGGGGAGTAAATTGGCAGCAACAGTGAGACTCACATTAAGGAGGAGAGCGGATATAAAGAGGCCAGCTGCCACGTCCTTGGTGGAGCGCACAGGGCAGCAGGAGAGGAACTGGCCCAGCAGCAGCGAGATCAGTGCCGCACGCAGGAACTTGAGTATGCATGTGAGAGTGACACTCACATTGAGGAGGAGAGCGGATATGAACAGCCCCGCAGCCACATCCTTGGTGGAGCGCACAGGGCAGCAGGAGAGGAACTGGCCCAGCAGCAGCAGGAGCAGCAGGAGCAGGAGCAGCAGCAGTGGACACTAGTTCTTACATTGAGCAGAAGCGCAGATATGAAGAGGCCAGCTGCCACGTCCTTGGTGGAGCGCACAGGGCAGCAGGAGAGGAACTGGCCCAGCAGCAGCGAGACGGGCGTCATGACTGGATGTCGGAAGTCAGAGGAGGGGAATATGAGCGCCCACAGACGGAGCAGGAGGAGTGTGCGCGCCGTGGGCCATGCTGGCTCTGAGAGGAGAGGAACAAAAGGGGGGACGGGGTGGGGAGGGGAGGGAATGGGCAGGGAAGGGCATTACAGGGCGTCATGACGGGGTGGTGGAAGTCGGAGGGGGGAAGATGAGCGCCCAGAGACAAAGGAGCAGCAGCGTGTGTGTCGTGGGCCGTGCTGGCTCTGAGATACGGGAGAGGAATACAGGGGGTGCGGAACACCTGCGAGGGGATAAAGGGGAACCACGTGATTGAAGAAGTGTTTTGAGTCGTCTCAAAACACTTCTTCAATCTTTTGAGACGTCTCAAACAAGCCGTGCTGGCTCTGAGATACGGGAGAGGAATACAGCGGGTTCGGAACACTTGCGAGGGGATAACGGGGAACCGAACCAAGGTACTGCTTAGCAGCAGCGACATGTGCTGTACCTACTGTACAGTTCCGTACCACACCGTACCGCACTGTATCCCATCGTACCTCCGGCTTTGAGGCGCGCCACGAGGCGTTTCTGCATGCGGGCGAGCCGCTCGCGGGCGCAGACGGCAGCAAAGAGAGAGAAGGACGCGGAGAGCTCCACGAGCGGCTGCACACGGGCCCCCAACCCATTCAGTCCTATACCGTACCGCACCGTACCGCACAGCACCACACCGTACCGCACCATACCGCACCGTACCTCCGGCCTTGAGGCGCGCCACGAGGCGTTTCTGCATGCGGGCAAGCCGCTCGCGGGCGCAGACGGCAGCAAAGAGAGGGAAGGACGCGGAGAGCTCCACGAGAGGCTGCACCAGCGCATTGATGTGCGCCGCTGCCACTGACGGCGCCCTCTTCTGCAACTCACTCGTCGCCTCTTCCTCCTCCTCCACCTCTTTACCTTCCTGTTTCCCCTCCTCCACCTTCCTCCCCCCTTGCGGCTTCACCTGCTGCCTGCTCCCTTGCTGTTTCTGCTGCTGCTCGTGCTGTTGCTTCTGCTTCTTCCCCGGCTGATCCTCCTCCTCCTCCACCCGCTGAGACACACCACCGCCACCACTATCACTAGCCAGCGACGCGAAGTACTGCAGGAGAACGTTATAGAAGATCTGCATCTTGCGCTTGTTGTCTGGGGACAGGTGCGCCGCGTTGCACGCGCGGATGCGTGCGATTGCCACGCCAACCTCTGCTGCTGCGCGCCCCTCTAGCAGCCGCTGCAGGTCCTTCAGCTGCTGTGGTGCTTCTATCACGTATGGCAGCTCGCGCCGTCGAAACACCCTCTCTATGCGCTCATTCTCCTCCTCTTCTTCCTCCTCGTCCTCCTCCTCATCTTCCTCCTCCTCATCCTCCTGCTCTTCTGCTGCTGCTGCTGCTGCATTTCTCTCTTCCGTATTCTGCTTCTCCCCCTCCTTCTCTTCCTCCGCTTCCTCCTCCTCATCACTCTCCTCTCCCTCCTCTTTCTCCTCTCCTTCCTCCTCCTCGCTCTCCTCCTCATCCTGCTTCACATCACTCGCAGACCCTCGCTTCCCCTTCACCCTCTCCCCTCCAATCTCCTCATCACTCTGCTCCCAATCCACGTCAGCTAGATTCTCCGCCCCATCCTCCTCTTCATCCTCCTCCTCCTCTTCCCCCTCACTCCCACTCTCATCCTCGCTCTCCTCCCCCTTCTGACCCAACACATCATAAACCCACCCCTTCTTCTCCTCCTCGTCCTCCTCATCTGCCTCTAACACGAAATTCTCCCCCAAGTCGTCCCCAGAGATCTCCCGTTTGACCTTCTTCCTCTGCCGCCTCTTCCTCCCCTTCCCGCCCTCCTCCTCACTAGACCCCTCCTCCCCTTCCTCCCCCTCCTCCTCGTCGTCACTGGGTTCCCCATCCATACGCCTCTTTCTTGCAGCCTGCGCTCAAGACATGGGAACGAGAGGCAAACACCTTTGAGAATTCTCAAAAGGCAAACACCGCACACCAAGTAACGAAATATTGAGCCGACTCAGAAACAGGTCGCAGTCACTGGTTACCCCGTCCAAACTCAAGTCATTGGAAAAGGCATGAGGGTGCGGGGAGAAAAAAAGGCAATCACCGCACACAAGAAAAACTCACCTCGAGCTTCACCAGTCGCGCCCTCTCCGCCTCTGCCGCTTCCTCCGCCGTCTTGGTGCGTTCCCCGGGTTTGCCTCGAACAAAAAACAAACACCATCTCCCGAGAAACAAGCATGCCGTCTATCTCACCTCGAGCTTCACCAGTCGCGCCCTCTCCGCTTCTGCCGCTTCCTCTGCTGTCTTGGTGCGTTCCCCGGGCTTGGCGCGGATATCAAACACCATCTCCCTCGCCAACACGTCGTACTGCTTGTCGTCCATCTCCTGACGAAGATATGAGACAGGGGTGGGATAGGGGAGATGATACGGAGCAACAGGGCTTGGCGCGGATATCAAACACCATCTCCCTCGCCAACACGTCGTACTGCTTGTCGTCCATCTCCTGACGAAGATATGAGACAGGGGTGGGATAGGGGAGATGATACGGAGCAACAGGGCTTGGCGCGGATGTCAAACACCATCTCCCGTGCCAGCACGTCATACTGCTTGTCGTCCATCTCCTGATAAAAACATGAACAGCGTGGGGGAGGGGAAGGGTGGTGGAGGGAAAGTGCGGAGGGGAAGTGTGGAGGGAGAGTGTGGAGGGAGAGAGGGGATGTCAAACACCTTATCCCGCGCCAACACGTCGTACTGCTTCTCGTCCATCTCCTGCCACCCAGCAGCGAGGACAAGGAATAACAATACCGGATAAACAGCAGCAGCAGCAACAGAAACAGCAACAGAAACAGCAGCAGCAACGGTGATAGAGAGTGCAGAGAGCATGGCAAAACGCACCTCTTCAGCCACGTCTGCAGCCAGCAGCGAGCTCCCAGCAGCGGGCGCCTTAGCAGAACCACCACCAGCCGTCCCAGCAGTAGCACCAGCAGGCGCAGCAGCAGGGGCAGCAGCAGCAGCAGCCTTCCCCTCTCCCCCTCCCGCCTTCTCCTTCCCCATCCCGCCCTTCCCGCCCTTGGGCGCGCGCGTGAGCGCGAGCAGCGCGTCAGACTGCGCGATTTGGCGGAAGTCCGCGTCGAGCTGCTCGCGGAGGTGCTCGTCCTCCTCCTTCTCCGCCTGTCGCTTCGCCTTGAACAGCTTGCTCTTCGCCATCACCTCCTCCATCACCTCCCTCTTCGTCTTCTGTCGCTCCTCGCCTCCCTCCTCCTGCCCTGTCGCCGCGTCAAGCTGGCCATGCGGAACAAACAAAAAAGGGCAAACGAAGGAATTGGGTTGGGTTGAGTGAGATGAAACAGTGGATTTCTTCTTCTCCTTCTCCGCCTGCCGCTTCGCCTTGAACAGCTTGCTCTTCGCCATCACCTCCTCCATCACCTCGCGCTTCGTCTTCTGTCGCTCCTCGCCTCCTCCCTCCTGCTGCTCAGCCGCAAGCTGACCAAGGGAAACAGAACCACAAGGGAAGAAAAGCATTGGGTTGGGTTTAGTGAATAAGATAGTGATTTCTATTCTCCTTCTCCGCCCGCCGCTTCGCCTTGAACAGCTTGCTCTTCGCCATCACCTCCTCCATCACCTCCCTCTTCGTCTTCTGCCGCTCCTCTCCCCCCACGCCCTGCTCAGTCCCTGCATCAAGCTGGAAATGCGGAACAACAGCAGGAGAACAAAGGGATTGGTTTGAGCTGAGTGAACGAGATCATGAACTTCTTATCCTCCTGCTCCGCCTGCTGCTTCGCCTTGAACAGCTTGCTCTTCGTCTTCTGCCGTTCCTCTCCGTGCTGCCCCTCCGCCTCCGCACCAAGCTGACGACGGGAAACAAATCCACAGGGGATTAGAAGCATTGGATTGGGATGAGCAATGGAATACGACGAACAACCATGTCTCGACACAACACAGCGCGAGAGAAAGTTATAGGGAAAGAATGGGAGAGAGGAAGAGAGGGAGAGAGGGAGAGAGGGAGAGAGGGAGAGAGGGAGAGAGAGAGAGAGAGAGAGAGAGAGAGAGAGAGAGAGAGAGAGAGAGAGAGAGAGAGAGAGAGAGAGGGAGGGAGGGAGGGAGAGAGGGAGGGAGGGAGGGAGGGAGGGAGAGGGAGGGAGGGAGGGAGGGAGGGAGGGAGGGAGGGAGGGAGAGAGGGAGGGAGGGAGGGAGGGAGGGAGGGAGGGAGGGAGGGAGGGAGGGAGGGAGGGAGGGAGGGAGGGAGGGAGGGAGGGAGGGAGAGAGAGGGAGGGAGGGAGGGAGGGAGAGAGAGAGAGAGAGAGAGAGAGAGAGAGAGAGAGAGAGAGAGAGAGAGAGAGGGAGGGAGAGGGAGAGGTAGAGGTAGAGGTAGAGGGAGAGGTAGAGGGAGAGGTAGAGGTAGAGGTAGAGGGAGAGGTAGAGGGGGCCAGTGGAGGCTCACATGTGCGTCTGTGGCCGACTTGGCCTTGGGAACGAAGCCACCACCGAAATGATACTCGCTCACAATCTTATCGCCCACTGCACCCACACAGGTACACACACAGGGATGGGAGGAGATAGAGAGAGGCACACGAGGAAGACGGATGAGAAGCAGCCTTGGGAATGAAGCCACCGCCTAAGTGATACTCGCTCACAATCTGATCGCCCACTGCACACACAGAGGAGGGCGAGAAACGCGGAGGAAGGATGAGGCAGCATGCAGAGAACAACAATATTGATCGAGACCTTGTGAGTTGACATCATTGATCTGGTTGCCAAGTGCACACATCCGTGAGCGAGGGGAACACCTAGTAGGCACGCGAGAAAGAACACCTTGAAGACATGCGAAGAAAATAAACGGAGTAGTCTCAGAGATCCCGACGCACACGGATGGCACCATCGCCCCTCGCCGCAACCAAACACACAAGCGTTAATCGAGGCGTTCACCAAACAATCAACTGCTCTAGAGGTGAAAACCTGACTCCCATGCTCCAATCACCAACGCACGTTCCTATCACCACCAACGTACATGCTCCACCATCGTCACACAATCAGTAGAGCCCGCGCACACACTTGTCATCCTCGACGCACACAATCAGGTGGTCTAGAGGAGAGAAGCTGTCTCGCACATCCCAATCAACCAACTCACGTGCGAGTTGGGTGCTCCACCATCATCCTCATCCTCATCGCCAGACACGTCCGAGTCGTCAGTCGTCAATGTGTGGGAGAGGAGGCAGCCCTGACTCATATCACCAACCAACTCACGTGCTCCAATCAACAGCCCACACACTCTCATAACAAACTCACATGCTCCATCATCAGCGTCGTCATCATCACCCTCGCCGAAGCCACACACGTCCGAGTCGTCAAAGTCGTCAAAGTCGTCAATGTCGTCAATGTTGCACCCACGCACACTCTTCTCATCCTCAACGCACACAATCAGGTCAGGTGGTCTAGAGGAGGAAAGAACCCGACTCACACACCCCAATCTCCAACTCACGTGCTCCGTCGTCGTCATCCTCGTCCTCCCCGAAGCCAGACACGTCCGAGTCGTCAAAGTCGTCAATGTGTGGGAGAGGAGGCAGCCCTGACACATATCACCAACTCACGTGCTCCAATCAACAACCCACACGCTCTCATTACAAACTCACGTGCTCCATCATCGTCGTCCTCATCCTCCCCGAAGCCAGACACGTCCGAGTCGTCAAAGTCGTCAATGTCCCGCCCGCCGTGCGTCAGACGCAAGTCGCCGTCCTCGCTCGCCGCTGCCCGCCTGCCGCTGCGCCTACCCGCGCCTCCTCCGCCTCCGTCATCGTCCCCCCCGTTGTCGTCTTCGCTCTCGTCGTCGTCCCCGAGGGAGAACCTGTTCTTGCGACTCAGCTGGGCCTGCAGTGGAGGAAAGCGAGAAACGGATGGCAAAGGAATAAGATAACATCAATAACAGCTGCTGCACCACTGCCCGCGCCTCCACCGCCCCCACCGTCGCCCTCCCCGTCGTCGTCTTCGCTCTCGTCGTCGTCCCCGAGGGAGAACCTGTTCTTGCGACTCAGCTGGGCCTGCAGGGGAGGGAGGCAAGGAGGAAGGGAAGGGAGGGGAGGGGTGGGTGAATTTTAGGAGGGCAATGAGGGACTCGAAGTCTCCTCCACCGCCTGCATCGTGGTGACTTTTGAGTCGACTCAAAAGTCACCTCGTTACTATGGCACACGACATTTTAGGAGGGCGGTGAGGGACTCAAAGTCTCCTCCACCGCCTGCATCGTGGTGACTTTTGAGTCGACTCAAAAGTCACCTCGTTACTATGGCACACGACATTCTAGGAGGGCGGTGAGGGACTCGAAGTCTCCTCCACCGCCTGCATCGTCGGCCTCCCCGTCGTCGTCTTCGCTACACCGACAATTGCAACTTCGCCTCGTCGTCGTCCCTGAGGATAACAACCGGTTTTTGCGACTCCCGGAATTGAAGAGCAAACGAGGGAAGAGAATCTAAAACCACACAGAACCCAGTAAGCTCCCAACTGCCAATGCCCTCACTCTCGCAATCGCTCCTTTTGTGGTAAGAGTAACTCAGTGCGACAAGAGCGCGGAAGGAGAGACGGGAGTGAGAGGGTGGCAGAGACGTGACGTTTAGAAACGAAGCACCAAGGAGAAAAAGGTAGCGCAATGACATGTAATGATCATACCACACCATGTCATCACACTGAGTCATGCCATACCGTACCATGATGACATGTCATAATTATACCCGTTAATGACACCCCATGACACGACGTACCATGCGCTCCTTCTGGAATCGCACGATGGCCTTCTCGCCCTCGGGAATGGACTCATCGCCCTCGCCGAACCTCCGATCCAGAAACAGGTTCGCCTTGCCGCGCTGCTGGAACTCCTGCAGCAACGTCGCCTTCCTCTGATTGACGGTTAGGGTGGGTTAGGGTGAACGCAAGCGGGGATGCAAATTCACGATGGGCCAAAAGTGAGTGGAAACAAAAAAGACCTCCGATCCAAAAACAGGTTCGCCATTCCGCGCCGCGGAAAATCCTCGCGACGCCTCCCTCCGATCATGGTTGGGGCTAGGGGATATGCAAGAGGATGCGTGGGAGGATGGGCAAGAGATTGGGGAAGAGACCATGAGTTGAGGTGCTAGGATAGTGCCGAAGGGGGGGCTGTCAGTGCAGCGCGGAACAGAAGACGTCAGTGCAGCGCGTGACGGAGAGCCTCGAGTGTAGCGCGGGGCGGGGAGCCGTCAGTGCAGCGCGGAAGGCGGAGCCGCCAGTGCAACGCGGGACGGAGAGCTGCCAGTGTAGCGCGGAACGGGGAGCCGTCCGTGGAGCGCGGAAGGGGGAGCGGTCAGTGCAACGCGGACGGGGAGACGTCGGAGGAACGCGTAAGGGAGAACCGTCAGTGCAGCGCGGAAGGGAGAACCGTCAGTGCAGCGCGGAAGGGGGAGCCGTCAGTGCAGCGCGAAAAGGGGAGCCGTCAGTGCAGCGATGAAGAGACAGCTGGGGAAGAGCAAGGGTAAGGGAGAATTCGATCTATTTTTAACAAGTCTTAAGAACCAGCATATTTGAATGTGAGAGCCATCGAGAATTGCAGGGAAGCGGAGCACAGAAAGGAATTAGTGTGTCACGCGACAAGAAGACGGAAACGAAGTGTTACGAAGAGGGGGAGAGCGAGAGAGGAAAGCGGGCAGCACAGAGCTGGTACCTTCACCTCCGCTAAAGGTACAGCGGTTGCGGCGTTCTAAGGATCATCTCCATACACCGAATTTTCCCATTTCGTTACTATGAAGTACCCTATTCGTGACGCAGAACATAATAAACGCGAAATGAGACATGAAGGAGAGGAAAAATAGATTGCCGGAATTTCGCCCACCACGGTCTGCAGCACAGGACTATCAGAAAAGAGCGAGTAGCGACCGTTCTTGAAAGTGCCTCTTAGACTGTCTAACACAAACCTTCTCCACCGCAGCACTCCCTTCTCGTCGATTCAACAGTCGCTAAGTTCCTAATCAGCTCTTTTTTATTCCCTAAGCCTAACCTTTTCCACAGCAGCACTCCTAGCCTTGCCGATGGACTTGGCGCGAACATCGCCCTTGACCTTGCGTCCCAGAATGTCGAACTTGCGACGGTTCCACAGCTGCTCGAACACATTCACCAACCGGCCCGACACGCCTCCGGGTTTGCCGCTCCTAGACAGCCCGGTAGCAGCGCCGCTGGGATCCGAAGACCCCACGCCGGAGCTCCTCCTGTTCTTAGCCATTCCTGGACGGACCTGGATGGACCCGGACGGAACTGGACGGACGTAGACGGACCTGAACTAAGCCTCAAGATGAGACGCTAGTTCTGACGCGACTGCGCTACTACCCTCGCGACTCTAAACTCAGGGCTGAGCCGACGCCCTAAAATGGCACTAGCTAAAGCCATGGTGACATCTCAGGGCGAGCTCTACGCAAGCCCCAGCACAGGAGAGCAGCTGCACGTAACCTCAACACGAACAAGAAACCTCCTCAGCTCGGTTCGGAAATACCAAAGCATCAGACTCTTTCTAGCTGGCATTCCCAATGATCAATGGTTATGGGTCCCCATAAGCAGTGACGTCTGGCAGAAGAGTGGCTGCTCCATTCGTAACTCCGCCTCACCTAGCCGTAACTCCGACAATTCTCGGGGTTTGTTCTCCTTGGGAAGGGGAAACGGCAGGTGGGACTAGGGTTTCGCAACTGCCCTCCTCCCCTCTTTCTCGTTCATTCCCCCTCTCCCCTCTCCCCTCTACCCTCTCCAGTTGGGTTTGTCCGTTCAGTCCTCCTCTCCCCTCTCCCCTCTACCCTCTCCCGTTCCGTTACCTACAGTTGAACTTCTGTCTGTTTCAAGACTTTTCCGTCCATACAGCTGACACTCAGCCGGCTTCCGTCGGACTTCGCGAATCCATCCATCCATCCACACATACGACTTGTTTGTCGCCACACTGAATTTGCAGTCTGCCCGACCACCGAAGGTTTCACCTGGCGAAAGCGTCACAAACAAAGGGCTGATGTCGTCAGTGCTCACACGAGTCGCACGGTCACGCGCGAGAAGACAGGTTATTGGTTGGCCGCAAATGCAAACTTTTGATTGGCTATACCTTCATACCATGCGAACCATCCCATGGTTGGTGCAGAAAAGCTCGCAAGGGGATGCCAGAAGCAGTCAAGCATCCGCACTGCCATTGTAATAACAAACACTTCAACACAAGTTTTACTTCACCACATAAGCAGAAGCCTTACCTTCAAAATAGGCCATCAAGACAAGAACCGAAGAAGCTTTCGGCTCAGACATGGTAACAGGGAATATAAAACCATAACGAAGCCAACTAAAATATTGGAGTAATACATTCTCTCGCAGTTCATCAATGTGGAACATGCATTTGTTTATTGGTAGTCCTATAAATGTTCATGTAGGGGAACAGGGATGACTAGTAAGGGATGGGAGGGGGAGGGTGTTGGAAACAATCGGTCCTAAGCGCCTCTGCCGTGTCGAAACACTAAGACACAAAAGAAACGAAGTATAACGAATCACCGGCGAGTCAACCCTCGGAGGTTGAAAGTAACTGTTGGAGGTTACGCGAAAGTCAAAGGTCAGCGACCTTTGACCTGACAAAGTACAGCGCGACAGCAAGGACAAACAACTGACTCGGTATTGAGCAGTTGTCCGAGTCGTCACTGTATCGAACCGCAACAGCAATAGTAAAACGGTTATTAACTGTATCTCTTCGTATTCCTTGTACTCTTATAAAAGCTTGTATCTCTTTGTTTTAATCAACTTACTTTGCCCTCACATACTAGCGCAAGGTGGTTCACAACTCTTTAATTAACGCTTCTGCTACTACACCAACTCTACCCAGAGTTCACCCCTGCAAAGATCCTAAGGGTTTTTCAGCCCAACATGGTATGAGAGCTATCAGGGGGAATTCAACTTCTATACCGACAACATCAACAAGCATGGCTACACAAAAGGAAAGGAGCAACTCCAACGGCTCCCAGGGCACTACTCCTACTCCACCTCCTGCCTCTGGCCTACAGACAGAGGAGGGCACAGCAACAAGACCCAGAGCAACATCTACCGAGACTCCCGCGAATCAACCTGCAGACTTCGACCAGAGCATGATGGAGAAGTTTTTCTCCTTCATGTCCTTCTACGAGCAACACCAGCAATCGGCACCTGCGCAGTCACACAACAGCAACAACAACGGAGCAACACCCATGAGTCTTGACGGCTCATCATATGCACGAGGAAATCAACAACAGCAGCCTACCTTTGCTCCGTACGAGCGCGGGTCCATCAGCTTTATGCCACACCCACAGCCTTCACCTGGACAAGAAAAATCACTGGACGCATTACAAGTTCAGTCGCAGTTCGCACACGTTCTGAAGATGCAGACGTCAAGACCCTTCGATGGAAAGGACTTCTTCACCTGGTCGTTCGAGTTCGAGCTGATGATGGAAGGCGCGCAGATACTCGGGTTCTTCGACGGGTCTCTGCCATACCCAACAAACGGCACACAGTACGAGAAGCAGCAGTACACCTATCAGTCAATGATGGCGTACACGATCCTACTGAGGAATATCACCCCGACTCAACAGCAGAACATAAGGTCTTACCGAGGTTACGGCAACTCCGCGGAGCTCGCGTACAACCACCTGAAGAGCCTGTATCAAGCAACAGACAGCGTAAGCCAAAGTCGGTTAATGGCGCAACTGACAACGGTTGAAATGAAACCAGGGGAGAAAGGAATGGCGTATATCAGTCGATGTCGCGAGTTGCGCGACAAGCTTCTTCGATGCGGAGGGTCGATCTCTGAAGACGCCTTCGTGACAGTCATCATCGGCGGCCTCGGTCCTCAATGGCGCGCCACAAAGGCCATTCTCCGAGCTCACGGAAGAATCTCCGAAGCAGCGCTCTGTGCCGAAATCCACGCCGAGCAGCAAGACATGGACCTGCAAGAAGAACGACACAAAAAGAAGACATCAGCACCGGAATTCGCGTTCCACACTCAGCGACGCTACAACAACAACAACAACCGGCAGCAACAACCGAAGCCAGTACCTCCGTTCTGCCACATATGCAAAACTTCAGGACACCCGCGTACGCACTGCCCAAATCGTCAACAGTCAACAACTCCACAGCGGCAACTTCGACCTTCAAGCAGCCAAATCGCCTCAACGCAAGCAAATCCCACGACCCAGATTCAAGCCTCAACGACTTCAACGGGACAACCTGCACAAGGAGCAAGAAACATCGTCAGCTGCATGGCAAAGCTGAGTGACTCCTGCATCACCGAGTCACCACCACACTACTCACCGGAAGAACAACTCGACGAAACCACACCCCGCCGCGAGTCACTTCAGCCGAACCCGACATACGCCGCCATCGCCCAAAGCGAACCATCCGGAAAGGACACATGGTTCTTGGACAGTTGCTGCGGACAGCACATGTGCTCCTCGGGACGCTTCGTTCAACGAGAACACCAACTTCAACGCGAAGTTGTCATTACAGTCGCTAACAATCAGAACCTGCGAACACGACGCCATCGTTAACTTCACCAACTGGACACACCCTCCAGACCTTGATCCAGACTTCAGTCCAGAAGGCTTCTGGTATTCACACACCATCCCTGAAGCAGAAAGAACAAGGGCGTTAGCAACAATTCAGACAACATCAGCAGCAGCAGAGACAACATCGGCAGCAGCAGAGACAACATCGGCAGCAGCAGAGACAACATCAGCAGCAGCAGAGACAACATCGGCAGTAGCAGAACCATCAACGGCAGCAGCAGGAACGTCAACACCAATTGCTGGTCCTTCAACGACACCGCTCCTCATCGACGACACACCACCGACACCCGCGCAACAACTACACCCAGCACCACGAGAAGTTCATCGTAGCGCCAACTTCACCGCCAACTTCTACTCCAACTCCGATATGTACCGACGATCACCCGGACATCGCGCCGACGAAAGCACCTGGCACGCAAGGATGGGACACCCAAGCAACACAGTATTAAACAATACGATAAGAGCAGGAGTACTTGACAAGGACTCACTCCTACTGACCGACGGACGAGAACTTCAACGAGTACGCGGAACGTGCTTCACCTGCCCTGAAGGTGACTTACCACATCGACCGTTTGCGTCTCATCACAACCCGAGCGCACCCGCGTACGCACCACTCGAGAAGGTGTATAGCGACATCCTGTACAATCGGGAACCAGGACAAGTAATATACAACTATACAATCACCTTCATCGACGCCGCCACCCGTTACGTCTGGCACCTAAACCTCCCTAGCCGCGACATGGCATTCGCAGCCTTCGTTGCCTGGCTACCAGTAGCAGAGAGAGAATCGGGCGTGAAACTGAAAAGCTTCCAGTCAGACGGAGGAGGAGAATACACCTCTCAGCGATTCAAGCAGTACCTGGCGGAAAGGGGAATCAAGCGGCTCATCTCCCTTCCCTACGCCCATCAGCAGCAAGGTGTAGCAGAAAGAATGAACAGGACCTTGCAGAACAGCATGCGCAAACTGTTACGTGGCATGCGGCTACCCAACCACCAGTGGCCTGCGGCAATGGACCACGCCGTCATGCTGCACAACTTGCTCTCGTCATCATCGCTTCCAAACAACGCATCACCGCATCTGCTATGGACAGGGAAACAGGGCAGCACAAAAATGTTACGAGTATTCGGATGCATGGTACAGTACCGACCCCCAGCAGCACGAGCGGGCCGATTTTCTCAACGAGCACAGTGGGGACTACACCTGGGAACCGAAAAGAACTACAACGCGTGGAAAATCTTCGACGTCCATTCCAAGGAAACAGTAGCAGCACGTGATGTAATTTTCTACGAACGACTCACGCTCCAGACATACCTTGCCAACCTGCAAGAAGACCAGGATCCCACAGGTGGTTTTCGCGGTGACCGAGCCTTCGCCCCAGCAGCGGACGAAGCTGACTGGGACGAGCAGAATGTGGACAACGCATCAGAAGAAGCCGGACCTCTTCCGTTCTGCTCCGTCGACGTTCCCATGGACGAAGATAACCCTCGCGAAAGTGTCAACGCCGAAACCTTCTACTATTTTGCCGACAACGGTTACGTAACACCTGCGACAGTCAACACCAACGAAGCAGAACGAGTAGGACCCAACTTCATACCTGATCCAGAAGCGGGAGATGAAGCAGCTTATCCCGAGGACGCAAATCTTCCCCGCTACTCATAGAGTGGACTGCAA